GGAAGGGAGACAAGGGGAACCAAGAGTAATGATCGACATATAACCTCCTCTCCCCGCAGGGTGACAAACAACAGAAACATGGGTGAAGGGAGACAGTGGATGGTGTAAGATATGAAAATAATAATAATTTATGATTTATCAATGGTTCATGAGGGTGGGGGAGGGAGGAAAAACACGAAGAGCTGATACTTAGGGCTCAAGTAGATAGAAAATGTTTTTAAAAGGATAATGGCAACATATGTACAAATGTGCTTGACACAATGGATGTATGGATTGTTATAAGAGCTGTAAGAGACCCCAGTAAAGTGATTTATTAAAATAAATAAATGAATGAATAGATAGATAGATAAATAAAAACACATAGCTCTTGGGGGGGATGTCAGGTTTTTTGGGTACCTCATTGTATGGTCAGAATATTCATTAGAAGTGATGATGGAGAGATATCACATACTTTGAACATGTTTTCAGAGAGAGCAGTCCCTGAAAAATGACATCATGCTCGGTAAAATAGAGGGACAGTGAAAGAGAGGAAGACCTTCAACAAGATGGATTGACACAGTGACTGCAAAGGTGGGCCTGAACACAACAAGAATTAAAAGGGTGGCACAGGACCTGGCAGTGTTTCATTCTCTTGTACATAGGGTCACTATGAGTTGGAAACAAGTTGATGGCACCTATTCAGATAGCACGTGTTGTCAATCCTAATATACAGTTGTGGTAATCAAAACAAGCTGGTACTGGTAAAACAAAAAACACACCAAACCAAACCGAACTGACTGCAATGGAGTCAATGCTATGAACAGAGTAAAACTGGCCCCTGTGAGTTGCTAAAGCTATAAATCTTGATGGGAGCAGAAAGCCTCGTCTTGCTCTTCCAGAGAGTCCTCTCTCTAGTCTATCCTTAGGGTTGCTATAAATTGGAATCGACTAGATAACACAAGGTTTATGAAAGATTTTACTGTATCAATAGTGTTTTTTAATTCTAATTTTTAAATGCCATAATTGGGGTTTGAAAGATTTAAACAACAATACTCAGCTATTGCAGAAAATTTGGACTAAAAGAAAAGCAAAGAAATAACTAAAGGTCATGCCTAGTCACACAATCACCATATTGCCTCCTTTATAATATTCTTCATTAAGCAATTTAAAAAACTGAAGTCATTTAGCATCCCCGATGCTTTTGTAACCCATGCCTGTGATTTAGCATTCGTGGTGTTTATAGAGTTAGGCTGCCCAGATTCTTCTTCTGGAAAAGTCTTATGACCTTCAGTAGTGAGCTCCCTCCAGGGTGATCTATACAGTAGAGAAGGACCTCTCTGGAGGTCATGCCTGCTTGGTGGCCAACATTCAGTGAATGATCTGGGTATAAAAACCCCAATTTTCATCCTACCCTTTGGCAATTCTGATGGAGCATATAGAGCCCAGCGCTCTACATCCGACAAGCACATCTTAGCTGTGTGCAGCCTCCACTGGAGTTTCACTTTTCGTGTCATACAGCCTGCTTCTCTGATCAACCTCTTGGATCTCAACTAAAACAAACAAGCAAATAACACCCCTCCTCCCAAACTCACCACCATAGAGTCAATTCCAATTCATAGCAACCCTATCGGACAGGGTAGAACTATTCCTGTGGGTTTCCAAGGCTGTCAATATTTATAGGAACAGAAAGCCTTACCCTTCTGTGGAACAGCTGGTGGGCTTGCCCTCACAACCTTGCTGTTAGCAGTCCAGCAGGTAACCCACTACATCACCAGGGCTCCTCTGTACTCTAATATCCACCATAAAATGTGGTTTTGTAGACTATAACCAGAATATTTCAATAACAGTAACAAGAACAGCATGAGCTACATCTCACTATCTAACTAAAAGTAGAGAATACTAGGCTCTGGCCATGTATCACATCCCTATTCATTGAAAACATCAGTTAGAATTTTTTCCCCAAACCATTTTATTAGGACCTAATCTAGAAATCACACTATTCCAAAACTAATCATATCCAACAGTATTGTCACTTAGTATTTTTTTAAGCATGATTTTTTTAGACACATTGGTGCCATCCACTCATATTGATTTCTTGTGCATTGGTATTGTTTATCCTTAGTTTCTTTATACGCTCATGTGTCTTCTAACTTCTTCCATAAAACTTTCTCCCTTTTCTCCATCATCTCCTTCTCTATCATCTTCATATCTTGTCATTTCTGCTCTTGAGTTTAATTCTTGAACTTTTCCATCTAATTCCATACTTTTTAATGGACAGTTACACCCATCTATTGTCTTTTAACTGTTTTAAAGGTGATCTTTAATCCTTGTCTCTAACTCCAACCCTCTAATTAAACTCACCAATGCGATCATGTAACATAGCCAAAAATAATAATAAAACAAGTGAACAAATCTTTGGCCCTTTCATTCAAAATCTCTAATGTGAAGTAAAAAATAAAATTTAAAAATCCAATCACATTAGAGAGAAAGGCAAGGTTTCCTACTCCCTTAAAGAGTTACAGAAAGAAAAAAAAAAACAAGCTACAGTCTTGGAACCTCACAGGGGCAGTTCTATTGACTTGATGGCAATGAGGAGCAGTAGGCAATCAAGTTAAATAAGTTTGTAAACAAGTCCCTGACATTAAAAACATCCCAAATATCTTATAACTTCCAGAGCCTTAACAACCTAAAAATAAACAAGCAGCACTTGGTGTCTGTGCTTTGTAATTAACAACAGGAGTGAAGTCAGAATATATCCAATGAGCAGAAAAGGTTCTGAACTCTGAACTGGAAGCTACCAGTACTTCAACTTATTTCTACTTCTCTGTTTGCCTTTACATCGTCCCCTCCTCTCTATAGCCTTTTGCTTTGTAGCCCACAAGGCAGGAAAGAGTTGCATGACCACATTCTAGGCCAACCCTTATGGATAATAACCAGAAGGACCTCAGACTCAGGTCCAAATAATCTCATC